TCCCTAGAATTATGTAGCATTGCTCCCAACAGAGTGGTACTTCAGCTGAGAAGGCTGCCAAGAGATTAGCCAGCAGAGAACCGGAACACCAGGCCAGACACGGTATGCTGGCTTTTTACGGTGTTTCTGGAAGCACTTTGGTTCTTCCCTGCTTTTGTTTGCATCTGCTTCCAGCATAACCCTCCTTGGCAGAAATCACAGCTGAGCCCAGCTGTGCTTTCTGTTCCACCTGCAGACTGTTGGGCTCGCTGAGTGGTGTGGTCCTCAGTACTCTTTTTTTTTTAAACAAAACATGACTGTATTTCAAAACATAACCAAAATATAAAACAACAAAATAAAAAACACCAAGTATTTGCACAATGGCAATGCATGAAAAAAAATCTTTACATACTGAATCATCCATCATCTCTTAGGAATTAAGAACAGACTCTTATGTTACTACAAAGCGAAGTGAAAGAAACATAACCAAATTAACACAAAGGAACAGTATTGTTATAAAAAGATGAGATGGCTCAACAGTACGATGTATAAAGATGAGAAAGATTAACATTAAGAAAAACCACTTATATTACATTATCAATTATTAGCACATATTGTTATCTAATGGTCACAGTTTTGGGAAATGGGGAATTTTGATTTCAACACTGAAGCACTTACACCAATTAAGAGGAAATTTACTCAAATATAGATTTTGCATACAGTTTTCAGCGGTGATTGTAATCGACATAATTCCAATGCAGCTGAAAAATTCAAATTTACATAAGCATATTTACTACATAGAAAAATTACAGCTAATATATTAAAATAAATTTGTAAGCCAGGCATGGGGTCCTTGTTACTTTTAACACGAAGTCGGTTTTTTTTTCTTTTTGATGTATCGGGTCGTCTCTCCTGCTCTTCAGTTCACTACAAGTAGTCTTCCAGGGCTTGGAATAAAGACGGAAACAACAGCACATGAGAATTTAAGCTACTTGAATGCTCACCTGTTCTGAAGCCTTCCAGAAATATCAGCGAAAACAAACAAAAGGAGGGCTGGGGATTTAGCTCAGTGGTTTCACCGCCTGCTGCGCAAGTGCAAGGACCTGAGTTTGATCACCGGTACCAAAAAAAAAAAAAAAAAACCAAAAGGAAAAGATAGACATATTTAACTACATAAATGTGTAACCATTTTTTAACATTTAGAACAAGTTAAAAAATGAAGGAAAAAACTACGTTTTATGTCAGTTATAACATTAATATATAAAGAGCTCCTAAAAATAGTAACACAGGCCAAGTGCGGTGGTGCGTGCCTGTAAGCCCAGCACTGGGGAGGCTGAGGAAGGAGGATGGATCACCATGAGTTTGAGGCCACCCTTGGCTATATAGTGAGTTCAAGGCCAGTCTGGACTACATAGTGAGACCCTATCTCAAAAACAAAAACAAAAAAAGTAACACTAATATATCCATAACAAAAATAGAGAAAATGGGCCGGGGATTTAGCTCAGTGGGGCCACTTCCTGCCTCAAAAGCATAAAGTCCTAAGTTTGATCCCCGGTATCAAAAAAAAAAAAGAGAGAAAGTGTAGAGAAAATTTCATAAAAGAAATAATACAACCAGTAAGCATATGAAATTAGTTCAGTCTCAGAAATAAAGAATTATGAATTTGGGGGGATTTAGCTCAGTGGCACCAAAACTGCCTTGCAAGCCCAAGGTCCTGAGTTTGATCACTGGTACTGAAAAAGAATTATGAATTCTTTAAAAATGTTATATTTTACCCATCAAAGTGGCTATTTATTTATTTATTTGGCGATAGAATCTCACTTTGTAGTTCAGGTTGGCCTCAAACTCAGAGTAGTCCTCCTGCCTCAGCCTCCCAAGTGCTGGGATTACAGGTGTGCCCCACCATGCCCAGGGCAAAGTGGCCATTTATGAGAGCAAGGGAAAAAATCCTGTGCAGCTTCTGGGACACTCCCACATAGATGATGGGACCCTAAGTTGGCAAAGCTTTCTGGGGAACAGCCTGAAGTTATATGCTAAACACTTCTAAAAACATTCACCCCATTGACCCATTTCTTGGAATGTATTCTGATGGGGAGCAAGAGGAATGCCAAGATGTATGTGGATGACTATTAATAAATAAGCAGAAGAGAGATGCCAGATAAATAACAATGTCTTTATGTTGAGGAGACTGTAGCTATCTCAAATGATGCTACAAAAGATTATTGCCAAGGGTGCTAATAATGGTTCTTTGTTTTGTTTTTTGACAGCTTAATTAGGATATACTTCACATACTATAAATTTCACTCTAATAATAGGTGGCAAAAAAGGAAGCACATGAAGTGGCATCACAGTGTGATCCAAATTTTTGTAATAATGAAAGCTATAGTAGTGTATACAAAGGAAAAGTCGGCCTGAATAGGTTTTTTTTTCCCCCTCCTTTTCTTTTTTGTGCACTGCTAGGGATTGAATCCAGGGCCTCATGCATGCTAGGCAAGATACATCCCCATCCCTGTTTTCTAATGTTTCTAGTAATGCCAGTTACTTTTGTAGGAAGGAAAAAATTACAGGAGAAGCTTGTGGCTCTGCATTTCTGAGCCCTTTGGAGAAGCGTGAAGGCTATATCCCTAATGTGGCTATCATGCCCCTCTCTGGGTCCCGTCACCACTCCTGGCAACACAAACTATATGAAGCCTGTTCCTGACACACCATTTCTTTTTTGGTACCAGGGATCGAACTTGGGACCTTGCGCTCACGAGGCAGGCAGTGGAACCACTGAGCTAAATTCCCAGCCCATACACACACATTTCTTTTTAGGAGGAGGAAGGTTACTGGAGATTGAATCCAGGGCCTTTGCACTGAGCTACATGTGAAGCCCTTTTAAATCTTTTTATTTTGATATAGGGTCTTGCTAAGTTGCTGGGCTGGGCTCAGAATTGCAGTCCTTCTGCCTCAGCCTCCCAGAGTACTGGGATTATAGGCATAGCCACCACACCTGATATTTACCTCTGTACATTTGCTTTATGAAGCCCCTCTCTCTGGAGTGTCTTGGCCTCTTGCCCAGTCCCCCTGGTGTCACTGGCTCATGGAACTTTCCTCTGAGCCCTCAGTCCATAGTGGATGGCCCTATGACCTTTGCCTTTCCCCCTCCAGATTCACTTTTTCAGAGCGTTTGACTTTGGAGACTTCGATGGAGCAACTCTTTATTCTTTTTTTTAATTTGTATTAAGATGTTAGTGTCTTCCGGAATGTGGCTTCTTTGTCGTCTTTCATTGGAACCCTGGAGGAGATGGGGATTCGCAGGCAAACCAAAGTGCTTCGCCATCTCCAGTGGTGGTCTTTACCCAACTTTTATGTGCAAAATGTACTATTTTTTTTTCTGTAGTACTGTATTTTTTTTCCTTAAAAATAATTGAAGAAAATTTGAAAATGAGAGAAGAAAGAGGAGGTCACCCTGCCCCCCATTAGCAAATTTGGGATGTTCTTTCATCAGAGAAGACCTAAGGGCCAAGGAGTTTGGGAAAGGAAATCTTTAGGGCAGTGGTCCTCAAACTTCACAGGCATCAGATGCACCAGGCCTCATGTCTAACATACGTTTCCTGGGGCCCATGCCCCACCACTCTAGAGATGGCTCAGAGTGGGCCCCTTTGGCTGTGGTTATTTGGAGGGAAGGCTTCTCACTTTGGGAATATGGGGCTCAGTTCAGTGGGGCTGGCTCCCTTCCATTTTTCGGGCTCCTATTTGGCTTTAGCATCTACAGCAAAGCTCGGTTTCCTCCTCTCTGCATTTTACCAGCCCCTTTGTGGTGGGCTGGGCCCCCAATTCTATGGCCTGTATTTGCTGTCTTGAAGCACTTAAGTAATCCCAAGTAAAGGAGCTATGGTTCTTGTCACTAGAAACCTCAGATGCTCCTCTGGGTGTCGAGGAGGTAACAGCAGCAGGAACACAGCCACAGCTGTGTGTCATCCTGAAGACAGACTCACCGGCAGGGTTAATGTAAAAAAAAGTAACTGACTTACTCAGTGAGAAGGGATCTTTTCTGTTTTGTCTAGAGCTGAGAATGAAGCGGAGAGCATCAGACAGAGGAGCTGGGGAAACGTCAGCCAGAGTAAAGGCTCTAGGGAGTGGGATTTCCGGAAATAATGCAAAGCGAGCTGGACCGTTCATTCTTGGTAAGCTTTGGACCACCAGGGGATGGTTATGCTGGGGCAGAGCAGGGCACAGACAGGCGGGCTCCCACAGTCTGACCTGCAGACAGCAGAATGAGGAATCTACACATAGCCATATAGGGTCTTGCCCAGGCCTCTTTATTACTTTTGCAGTGCTTGAGATCAAACTCAGGGCTTTATGCATGCTAGGCAGGCACTGTACCACTGAGCTACACCCCCAGCATTCACTCCACCACTTTAAATGGAATATATTTATATCAGTGGAAGACAAGGCCCTCGGTCACTCTGTAACAATGGTTGTCAGTTTTGTTGTAGCCATACCACCAGCCTTAGATCAGCCTCAGCAGAGATCTAGACTCTGTTTCTTACCTAAGAATCCTGTGTGTGCCCTGAGAATTCTGTGTACCTGCAAGAAGCACACAGCTGCATGAGAACCCAAGATCTGGGCTGAGAATATAGCTCTGTGGTAGAGCACTTGCCTAGCACGTCCAAAGCCCCAGGTTCTATCCCTAGTGCTACAAAAAGGAGTAAAAATTGACACCAAGAGCCATCATCTAAGGCATACCTTAACTATTTTTGAAGGGCATGTTTGGTTCAGAGTGTCTTATTCCCCTCCCCCACGACTTCTTATAAAATAGATGCAGAAATCCTGTAGAATTGAGTGTTCTCAGGAGGCCAGAGGAAGAACAGGCTTTCTGCATGATCCCTGAGGCCCAGCAAGTCCAGATAGCCTATGGTCAGGGTTGCAGGTGAGGTGGTGTCAGAGACCCTGAGTCTCCCGTGCCAGAGGCTAGGCAGGATTGCTGCTTACAGCCCCAAGATAATTGTAGCTCATCAGTGGTGCCTACTGTGCACCAGCCCTGGGCTATTTGCTGGGCAGGCAGCAGTGATAAAGACAGATATCTAAGTTCCTACCCTCATGGAATTTAACATTCTGGTTGGAGAAACAGAGTAAACAGGAAACAAGATCATCACCTTGCTAAGTGCCTTGAAGGAAGTAGACAAGATGGTGTGAGAGTGAAAAGGGCCTGTCTAGCTATGGTGGCACACCCCTGTAATCCCAGCACTTGGCTGAGGCAGGAGGATCGCTGAAAGTTCAAGACCAGCCCTGGCTACATAGTGAGTTCAAGAGCAGCCTGAACTACATAGGGAGACCCTGCCTCAAAAAAAAAAAAAAAGTCACCATAGAAGCCTGTTGGAGCCATAATGTACTGGATTTTCTCACTGGAGTGGCTGGGTCAGAGCTCATGTGACAGCCATCTTTACAGGTGCTCCCCAGAATTTCTATCATATAGCCAATTAAACTCCCATTTCTATTCTTTTTTCTGTTCTGTTCTTTCCTTTTCTTGCCTTCCTTTCCTTTTTTTGGGAAACAAGGCCTCATTCCATAGCCCAGACTGATTTTTGCCCTTCCTGCCGAGTTCTGGGATTATAGGCATGTCACCATGCCCAGCCTGAAAACCCCTCTTTTTGAGGTGCCAACAAAAGCTAGGTATAATTCAGGTAGATGCACATATATTCCTCTCCATTTATGGAGGGAAAACCATGAGAATTCTCCATCAGGAGACGCTGGGGTGGTCTGTTCAGTGGGCACGAACTGTGGTACCTACCTGAAGAGAAGTTGTAGTCAGACAGCAGTGTGGTGACATGGAAGAGCAATAGGCAGGGCTTCTAATAGGTAAGCAAGTGGCCCTCTGTGCCATAGGTCCTCGTCTGGGCAACTCACCAGTGCCGAGCATTGTGCAGTGTTTGGCTAGGAAAGATGGCTCAGATGACTTCTATCAGCTCAAGGTAAGCAAGACATGGGGCAGGGGACCTTGGGACCCATAGCCTGTCCTAGTGCCTCCCTCCTCCCTCTTCTCTACCCTACTTCTTCCTGCAAAACCATCAAATTCAGCCTTGCTCAGAACAACTCTTGATTTAAAGAGCTTTAGATATGAAAAATTAAGAAAACTGTCCCATTAAGAAAAACGGATAGCTGGGTGTGGTGGTGCATACTGTAATCCCAGCACTCAGAAGGCTGAGGTAGGAGGAACACCGTGAGTTTGAGGCCTGCCTGGACTACATAGTGAGTTCAGGGCCAGCCTGAACTACAAAGGAAGACCTTGCCTCAAAAAAACAACAAAAGCAAAATGGCTTTCCTCTGTATGTTTGTTTGTGAGCCATGCGCAAGTGTTACATGGTATAAAGCTACCCCCACTTCCCATTCCAGACTTTTCTATATATAAAGGAAAAGGAAGGTGTTTGGTCTTTTGATTTTCTTTTTGTGCTTCCCTAAAGATCCTTACTCTTGAGGAGAGAGGTGACCAAGGCATAGAGAGTCAAGAGGAAAGGCAAGGCAAGATGTTGCTGCACACCGAGTACTCTCTGCTCTCCCTCCTGCACACGCAGGATGGCGTGGTCCACCACCATGGGCTCTTCCAGGTGAGTGCCCTCTCCCCTCACCCCGTGGTTGTCTCTGGGGGCTGGCACTAGCTAGGGTTATATCCATCCTGTGAGCAGCTCCCATCATGTGACTCCCTAGTGTTCCCGCCCTGCTGAGTGCATCAGGACTTCCTGGGCAGGGAGGGCTGGAGGTCAGGCTGGGGCCGTGCTAGCTGCTGCAGTGCTCTGTGGCCATAGTCTCACCCTAGCAGGAATATATTCAGTGGAGATCTTAAAACAAGCCAGGCTTGGGGCCAGGGATTTAGCTCAGTGGTTTCACCGCCTGCTGTGCAAGCTCAAGGACCCAAGTTCGATCCCCGGTACCAAAAAAAAAACAACCAGCCAGGCTTTCTTTGAAGGACTACTTTTCTGAGAAAATAGGAAAACAGGAAGACAGCCAGGGTTCTTTCCAGCCATGTTGTCAATGATTGGCCAGGCTGGAGGGGAACGAAGGACAATGAGGGGAATTGCTGTTTGGGTCCACCTATAGACCTCCACAGTTGTTTTTGGAATCAGCAGTCCTTTTGCCTGCAGAGGCATTTTAGTTTGTTCAGCACATGTGTCACATGATCCAGGTCTCTTAGGAAAGGTTCTGATAAGTAGCTTGTACCCTGAAAAGAACCATCTGGGACAGAACTGAAATTGTGTCTGTAGCATAAAGAGTTGGGTTCAGAATGACTGGGAGGTCCCTTCCTCAGGCCTGGGAGCAGCCCCCTCCTTGGCAGAGCCTTTGCAGCCAGTTGCCAGCCAGAACTGGCCTCTGCTAAGGTGGACCTGATATTTAGGAAGGTACACTGATAACCTTAGTTGTTGAGTGGATCCAAGCTTGAACTTCCTAGTACTCAAACAGCAAAACATGAAAAAATCTGCTCAGTGTTCATAACTGCTCAATAGTCAACCAAAAATCTGACTTGAAAAAATCTGTATGGTCCAAGAGTGAGTCTCACATCACATTTCCCTTAAATGTAGCATCAAATTGAGAGTGATTGTGATTTATTGGTATTCATCTCTGACATCTTCAAAACCTTGGCCTTTGCTGGGCATGGTAGTATATGCCTGTAATCCCAGCATTCGGGATTGAGGGTTGAGGATCACCACTACTAGCTCAAGGCTAGCCTAAACTAGATAATAAAACAAAACAGAACAGCAACTACAGGGCTGGGGATTTAGCTCAGTGGTACTGTGCCTGCCTTGCAAGCACAAGGTTGTGAGTTTGATCCCCCATACCAAAAAAACACACAAAACCCAGCAACTACAAAATAAAAAGCTTGGCTTTCCTTTATGGTCTTTTGGATAAGAGGACCTAGGTGATCAAAACTGTTACTTCTAGCATAGTATTTCTGGCCCAGATGTTGGGCTGGGGTTCTGGGGATGAGAAGATTTGGTCTTTCTGGAGTTCTCCAGAGGGCATGGTCAGTCTACTTGGGATAACACTGAAGGCCTCCTCAGGCTGGAAGGATAAAAGTTTCCAGGTTGTGCCTGTTTTTGTCTCACTTGAACACCTTGCAGCAAGGACAATAGATCTAGGCCTTGCAGCCACAGTGGAAGTAGCAATACCCACATGCAGGGCCCTGACTGCTGCAGGCCCTAAATACTGGGTGGTTGTCCATTTCATTCTTCACAGCCAGGGAAGGACACATCGCCAGCTCCCTTTTACAGGTGAGAGCTAGAGACTTGGCATTTCAAGCAAACTGCTCAGGTCCCACAACTAAGAGGTGGAGGTGGGGTCAAACCCAGTTTTCTGAGCCCAGAGCCATACTCAGCCACAGTTGTGTGACTGCCCAGAAGCACTGTGGCTGAAGGAAAGCTATTGTCTTGGACATGCAGAACACTGTGTGACCCTTGGAGCCTTCCAGGGCTGACCTCTCTAACTTCTGCCATCTTGGATAGGGGAAGGGAAGTTACACTGGTAGTTAATAGAATCTGGGAATGCTTCGAAAGAAGGATGCCCAGACCCATTTCATTGCCTCTGCACTTGGGTTTAAATGTCAAGACCTGACTCTCGTCCTTCACATTATAATCAAAGCCTGAAGGTTTGAGATGTCTTCGCCTCAGCCTCTTGGGCCTGGTGCTTGGCTGGTGGGAAGCTGAGTGATGCTGAGGACCCCTTTTGGGCTAACCTAGTCACACCTGCAGCCTTGCTCTGGGCTCATCATTGGTTTGGTGTACCACTCCAGAGGAGAGTCCCAAAGCCCTGCCCTTGACCTTCTGGCCCACAGCCAAGGCCTGGTCTGCCTGCTTACCTCATAGGACCGCACCTGTGAAATCGTTGAGGACACAGAATCCAGCCGAATGGTTAAGAAGATGAAGAAGCGCATCTGCCTTGTCCTGGACTGCCTCTGTGCACATGACTTCAGTGACAAGACCGCCGACCTGATCAACCTGCAGCACTATGTCATCAAAGAAAAGAGGCTCAGCGAGCGGGAGACCGTGGTCATCTTCTACGACGTGGTGCGCGTGGTGGAGGCCCTGCACCAGGTGAGCCCCCCACGCCACTGCTCCCTTCCACTCTGCCCCCAAAAGCCACCCTTCTTTCTGTTGCTCAGTAAAAAGCTCTGTCCATCCTCACCCTGGTGTGCTCTGCAGCTGGGAATGTCCAGAGGAAAGAGGCTGAATGATGGGTGCACAGCACTTCAGCCCACAGCCCATGTTCCTGGTAAGGGCTGACCAGGCAGGCCACACAACCCCACACGGTAATTACTTGTGTGTCAAGAGGCTAAACTATAGCGTCCCAGCTTGGGGACAAATGTGAGATACCCACCTGGCACCATGACCCATCTGAGTTTTTTGTAGGATTGGAGCTCAGACACCCTGAGGTAAAGAGCAGGAGAGCCTGAGCCTCTTGGGGGCACATAGCTTCTGTGGGCAGAGCCTGCAGTGCTTAGTTACAGAGTTAAGACTATTCATCTCTGACCCCTGTCCCAGGCCAAAGCTTGGTTTTTTCCCCTTTGCAATGGTTGGGGGCAGGGGCGGGGGGTGTTCCCCCTCTGGCTGCCCTAACCAGAGGAGGAGTGGAGGAGGCTACCTGGTGGGCCCCGACTGGGACACAGCTACTCATTCAGACCATGGTTAGTGAGGCCTGAGAGTCTAGCCTGCTTTCCCACACACATGGAGAGCCCACATTTTACAGGTTGGGGCCCAATACACCTTTCACTTTCCTAATGCACACCATATGCCTGTTGGTTTTCAGAAAAACATCGTGCACAGAGACTTGAAGCTCGGGAACATGGTGCTCAACAAAAGGTAAGGTTCTGTTTCTCCTTCCATGCTGTTAGCTTGCAGTTGGGATAAGCTACTTGCTGCAAGTACCCAGTGCCCTGCAGTCCCCATGGGGATCTCGACTCATAACAGCCCAGTCTCCCAGAATCCCAGGGCTTCTGTGCTTGCCACACAGAGAATGGTGCTTGCTGAGACTGGGAGTTTAGAGCTGCAGAAAGGGAGCTCTGGAAAGGAGTTTGGATGCTTTCCCTGGCCTGTTCATTTGTCATGCCTGGCTCCTGGAGAGTGCTCAGTAAATGACTACACAAATGGAGGAATGGGGAAGGAGTGAGCAGAATGAGCCCTTGCTCGGGTTGGGTCCCTCAGGAAACAGACTGAGAGGATGCATACAGGAGGCTTACCAGGCAGTGCTCAGGGAGCAGGGGCGGAGTTGGGCTGAAGAGGAAGCTGCACTGCAGTGAAGGTGCGCCAGGTCTCTGTCTGAAGAGCACTGGGGCTGGATACCCATTCGGGTGTCCCAAATCAAAGCAAGGAGGTATGGCTCTCATGCTTTCCAGCCCCTAGTCCCCAAGTGTGACTGTCCCTAGGGAGGAGACTTCCTGAAGAGGGACACAGCTATGAGTGGTCAGGAGCAACTCACAGCACTCACAGCATCAGGAAGAGTGAGTGCCTGGGTCTCGGAGGCAGCTCACCGCAGCCATCCTTGGGGACCAATGGCAGAGCCCTCAAATCACCTGAGCCCCATTTCAGGCTGTCACCCCACCCCATGAGAAGGCCTGGCTCCTTCAGAGTGATATAGAGGGACAGGGGTAGAGGGGAACCAGCCACGCAAGGGTCTGGGACAGACAAGTGGAGAGGACCTCTCTGGACCACTAGGTTCCTAGAAATGCAGGGCTGGGGAGGACATATCTCCCCTCAGCTGCTCTTTTCCCTTCCTGACCGTACTCAGCTCAAGGGGTGTTTGAAGCCTTACAAAAGGCAGCAGAGATGGCATGGTGGATAATTTGTTTCTTGTTGGTTTTTTTTTTTTGGTACCGGGGATCAAACTTGGGACCTTTTGCTTTCAAGGCAGGCAGCGGCACCACTGAGCTAAATCCTCGGCCCTAATTTGTTTCTTGATGTGTTCAGCCTAGCCCAGGAGGGGCCCTGAGCCAGCCTGCTATCCCTATAAAGTGGCCAGAGCCACAATGGTCAGAGGAAAAGAAGCTTGGGGAGCTGATATTCTGGGGAAGGGGATGAGAGCACCAGGTCCAGGCTAAGCTGTCTCCACCCTCCCTCCAGCTGCACCTGGTTATGTAGCTGCAGACAGATCATCTCTGGGCCGAAGCCCCTGCCCCCGTGGAGCTCACTGTCTGATGAAGTACTGACCAAAAGACAGATAACACATGGTGGTGGTAGTGTTGGTTGTTGCTGTAGCAGGGATTGAACCCAGGGCTTTGGCACTAAGCTACATTCCCACCCACCCTCCTTTTTTGAAATGTATTTTGAGACAAATTCTTACTAACTCACTAAGTTGCCCAGGCTGGGCTCAAACTTACAACCCTCCTGCCACAGCCTCCCAGAGTGCTGGAATTACAAGTGTGCACCACCATGCCTCACCAGATATCATGTATTGAGGACAGTTGTGCAGAGGGCTGGAAGCTCATGGAAGTCAGGGAGTCAGTTTATGAAAGATGAGTAAAGATCTGCCAGCCTGAGAAAGTGAAGAGATGAGACCCTGACCCTGTCATGCTCTGCAGGCTGGAGGGAAGGAAACAGGAAATTCCAGGACTGCTTGAGCCTTTTCTAGCTGAGTGAGGAGTTAGGGAAGATGGAGCAGGATGTGGAGGGTCAGACCTGGCTCGAATCCCAGGACCGCCTCTTATCTTGGAGACTTGAGAGTTTGGTGGTTTATTTACTCGCTGATTGAATTCATTCATTCTCTGAGCTCCTGTATTTCCTCATGTGAGAAAGTAGAGGTAATTCTATCTTCCTGGAAACATTGGGGTAAGATACAAATAAGAGGGTGTGCAACTGCCTGCTGGGGTTTGGCCCATCATAAGCTAGCAGGGCTTGGGGGTTCCTTTGCCCCAGAGACAGGAGACCAGGCCGTATGCTCTCTTCCCTTGGGAGGTGCAGCCTGCTGTGTGTTGAATGGTACACAGCGACTCAGCTGTGCCCCACCTCAGCCCTGAGATTTGGAGAGCATATTGTCTTAGAGAAGGGCTTTCGGGTCCTGCCCTGTCCCAGGCCTTCTGTGGGACCTTGGGCCAGTCACTGTCCTGCTCTGGACTGTAGGCCCACTGTTGATAAAGAGAGGGCAGTTCTTTTTGAGTCTTATCTGGCTGCAGAGCCAATGCCCTTGGCTAGACTAGAGAGCTCAGGCCTTCCACAGTTATCACTGGTAGGCTCTGTATGAGTATCCCAAGTGTTGCCATGGGGACGCACAATTGAGGCTCCTACCTGCTCACCACGCCACCACACCAGGACTCTGTGTGGCTGGTGGGTTTGATTCAGTTCATCTCTGGTCCCCAGGCTCTGGGCACCTAGTCTGGAGTGCGCCAGCATGACTACAGCAGCTGGCTCTGCTGTGTGAACACATGAGTACCACAGGCTGCAGGGCCCCGACACCTCTCTCAGACCCTCTCTTGGCTGCACTTCCTTAATCTGGTAATCCTGTTCTGTGCCTGGGTTAAGCGGAGGCTCTGGCCACCTTTCACTTAAGTCCAAGGGAAAGCGCTCAGATGCTTCAGAAAGGGGCAGGGAGAGACGAGCAGAGAGCCCCACACTGCTGCCTACGTGTCCTTGTCGTACTCATCCCCTCCCGGCCTCACACTCAGCCCTGCTCAGTCAGGGGTCAGCCTGGAAGAGCTCTGACCCCCTCTCCCCCATCCTGTGAGGCCCTCAGCCGGCCAGGAGGCAGGCAGCCAAACAGAGCACACCCAGGGAGGGCAACTGGGAGCTGTGCTTGTGAGGCAACAGCAGGGACAAGTTCACCTGCTTAGGATAAGGAAGGGGCTGGAATCTGAAGCCCTCTTTTGGGTTATTTGAGGTTGGCTGTGGGCTCCTGCTACTCCCTTCCTCCACCCTTTGGGTAGGCAAGTTGCACACCAGTTCCTAGAAAAGGAGAATACTGGCAGCCTGGAGGGCCACAGCCAAAGCGTGACTCAGAGCAGACCCTGCTGACGCACATCCCTTGCTCTATCCCTCACTGCCATTGCCCTTCTGTCAGGCCCAGCTGGGGGGTCTGGGGCTCCCAGGGAGCTAAGTGCCACCCAGCCAACTTGGGTGGTGGCAGTGGCGAGGGCAGGGGAGTGTTGCCAAGCTTCGGGAGGCCTCGGGGCTGACCATGCTCTTCCTTCGAGAGAGACTCCAGGCGCCTCTGTGGCAGGGCAGTGGAGCCCGCCTGGGCACGCACTCAGCTGCTTCTCCCTGAGCACCCCTCCCTGCCTGCCTCTCACTCTCCACCACAGAAGGCTGGAAGGTCCTGCCAGCAGGGTGGAATTGAGCCTTCATCTATGCTCCAGGGCCTCTGTGATCCCACTCCTTCATGGTCAGTGTCTTTCCTAGGATCTCCCATCACTAGCCTCTGCCAGATGTGCCAGCCAACAGAGGATGAGAGGATAATGGCAGCTTACTGTGTGCCAGGCACCCGGCCAAGTGTCTGCTGTGGTCTGTCTTCTTTTGGTGGATCCCAGCACAGTCCTGAGAGCCAGGCACTAGTATGTTCCCTGTTTCACAGATGAGGAAAATGAGGCTTGGTGAGAGAGTCACCCAGCAAGGAAGTGACAAATCTAGGACTCGGACCCTCGGAATCTGAATCCCACCTTCTCGTCCCCTGAGCTGTTCTCCTCCCAGTGTCTTGAGCCTCAGACCACAGGATGCATTTGTGGCTGCTGTAACCAGGGGCAGAAAATACACAGTGTGGCTTTGTGGGAACCTTCCAGACCAGGGCCCTGAGCAGTCATCTCATGTCGGAGCAGTGACATGGGAGGTCCAGAGCAGAGCAGCAGGCCTCATGTGTGCATGACCTCTGCTGAGACCCCTCGCCTGGAACAGGCCTGTGTGAGAGCTAGATCTGCATTTCTGCTGGGAACCTGAGGACAGACACCTTTGTTTGCACCAGGCCCTGCCAGCAAAATTCCCCAGGATAGCTGAAGGGCTCTGGGAGCCTCTTGGACTCAGCTCCTGGGGAAATCCACCCTCAGCCACACACCGTACGCCTCTGACACAACCCTCCCCGCAACTAGGGAGGCTTCTCTATCAGAGGCAGCCCAAGGCCCCCTGTAGAGCTTCCCTTGCTCCCATCTAGCCAACTTCAAGGCCTGGCCACTGGCACAGGGGCAGGGCACTCGGGTAGGAGGTGCCTTTCCTCAGTAGTGCTCCCCTAAGGGACATCTTTTTTTTTGGTACCAGGGATCAAACTCGGGTCCTTGGGCTTGCGCAGCAGGTGGCGAAACCACTGAGCTAAATCCCCGGCCCCTTTTTTTTCTTTTAAAGGCAGGATTTTGCTTAGTTAACTAGACAGGGTTCAAACTTTCCATCCTCCTGCCTTAGCCTACCAAGTTGCTGGGATTACAGTTGTGCACCACCACATTTGCCCCTAAGAGGCCTCTTGCAGGGGGCCAGCCCACTCCTCCCACCCCAGGTGTGACGTGGGGGCCCTCTCTGGGGACTTCTTTTGGTCTACTTTGTGGGCTTCCCAGAAAGGATCAGCCCAAAGCCGCCTGTCTCATGACTCTCAGAGGGGGCGTCTGGTCAGGGCAGGGTCTGAAATACAAGGCAGAGATGAGTAAGAGTAAGCCTGGATGGAACAGAGAGAAAAGTCAGTCAGGGGCTGGGCACTACACATCTGGGCAGCTATCAGTCCTGAGTGCAGGCTCTAGGGTCTGACAGACCTGGGTTTGGATCCTATTTAATGCTCACCGGCTGTCTGACTTCGAGCAACTCAGGTCCCTTTGCACCTGTGTCCCTGAGTTGCACCATCTGAAATGGGGCAGTGAGAAAATCTTCCTCATATAAAATCTCCCTCAGGGGCTAGGGATTTAGCTCAGTGGTTCTACCGCCTGCCTTGCAAGTGTAAGGACCCAAGTTCGATCCCCGGTACAAAAAAATCTCCCTCATAAACCCACTCCCTTACCAACTACTCAACTGATAATGGCAAAAGGGACTGGCAAAAGAAGACAGAGGTGGCACCCAAGGGTAGACTTCAGAGCTCCATCCACTGAGCTCTCTAGGCTAGTCACTTCCTCCAAAGCAAATTATGCCTTGCTCATTGAAACATGCGGGAGCGCTCCTGCCCATGCCATGGCCCTGCCAGGGAGCCCACCCTGGCGTGACTAAGTGACCTTTCTGGGCCTGTCTGCTCACTCATGGGGACTCGGGTCCTCCTCTAGGGTCAGTGTTAGTGGCTTCCAGGCCAGGGAAGAATACCGAGGGGTGTCCAGTCGCCCTGCAGGGGTTCCAGAATTGCTGGGATCCTCATCATGATGTCTCATTCTGGGGACTCTGCCATGTGCTAGGCAGCAGTGCTCCTTTGCACATCAGACCCCTGCCTTGCCTGCCAAGGAGCATTGGCCCTCCATGGGGTGGGCCTGCTCCCTCCTCAGTGGTAGGGCCCTGTTCCCTGGAAGTGCTTTCTGCTGGGTTTCCTCAGGGCCCTACTGCAGTGCCCCAGCGCTTTTCTGATAGAAGAAAGTGGGGGAGGGCTGACTCCTCAAAGCTCTGCTAGGACCCAGAGATAGCAGAGCTGCCCCTTGTTCCTCACCAGCCCACAGTGCCCTCCCCTCTGAACTGTCCTCAGTAGACTCCAGGAAGTAGTGAATCTGGGGCGCCTTGGGCCAGTAACTCTGAACCCAGAGCAGCCCAGTGAAGTCCCAGACCAGCATGTGTGTTTGTCCTCCAGATGTGAGCTCATTGCCATGCTACATCTGCACCAGTGTGTGGACCCCTGCCATAAAGGAAGAAGCCACATGTGGTGGCACTGTAATCCCAGCACTGTGGGAGGTGAGGCAGGAGGACTACAAGTTTGAGCCCAGCCTGGGCAACTTAATGACTTAGTGAGACCTTGTCTCAAAATAAAGAAAAAAGGGCTGGGGATGTGGCTCAGCGTGAAGGCCTGGGTTCAGTCCTCAGTACCTCAAAAAGTTCCATTTACTCAGTGGAGGAAGGGGTCTTGTGCCATGCCCTGGTTCCACTTGCATCTGGAGGGAATGGTCTCCTGGAGTTGCCCAGAAAGATTCCCAGACCATCCTTCTAGTGCAGGGTCTCAGTTATGCGCTGGCCTGTAGTGGCGTTTTGGAAAGACACAAGGTGACTAAGTTTGTTTGTGCTGTCCCTCCAGGCTACACTGTTACAACTGTGCTGCCGCTTTCCACTCCTGCCCTGTCAGCTTTGAGACAGTAGGGATGTGGGGAAGTGCTAGATGACACAGGCTTGCTCCTCCCTGCCCTGTGCTGTGCCCAATTAGTTGCCAGCCCCAGTGTATGGACTCCGTGGAGAGAGCCGGGGGCCCCAGAAAGGATGGGCTGTGCTGTCAGCAGGGGCCCTGTCTCCATCCGGATGACATACTTCTGTACTCCACCAGGTGACATGGGCACTGCACTGCAGGACCTGGCTTTCCCAGCAAGGCTGCCCTGCCTCCTGGCCCTGTGAGCTGGGATCCCTCCCCAGGGACACACTTGGCTGCTCTCAGAGTCCTCTGCAGGGAGATAGGACTCAGTGGGAGGGGAAGGAGTACTCAGTTGTGCAGGGGAGGTGCAGGGCCTGCTGTCAGGGTACTGCCTGGAGCCAGTGGGCGACTGTAAGATCACACATTTCTGGGCTTCCTTTTTTTGATGTCTGAATGGGGAAATCAAACTGAATTTCTGGGTCGCTTCCAACCTAGAAGACCAGGTGAGGCCATTGAAGGGCAATCTCTGAATGTCCTGAGGTGCACCCCTGACATGCAGCCAGGGTGGCAGATACAAGGGAGGCCTGCAGGTTAAAATGACACACATCCCTACCACACAGCTTGGCAGGTGCCAGCAAAGGATACAGGTGTGATTCCTTATCTCCCTGGGTGAGTCTGGGGACAGCTGTTTTTGTTCAGGTTTCGGAGCTGGCCCACCAGGACACCTGGCTCTGGCCTGGTGGCTGGCAGTAGACACAAAGGTTTGTTCTCTCTCCCTCTGGTCCCCAGAACTCATCGGATAACTATCACCAACTTCTGCCTCGGGAAGCATCTCGTGAGCGAGGGGGACCTGCTGAAGGACCAGAGGGGGAGCCCCGCCTACATCAGTCCAGATGTGCTCAGCGGTATGGTGTGCCTGTGCCAGACAGCAGGTCCTGGCTGAGCATAGCAGGCCCTGCAGGAGCGCATGCACTGCTGTGGGCAGGCCCGGGGCTTGAATCCAGCCTTCACTGGTGGCCCAAACCAGTTCTGTCCCTCCCTGTACAAAATCTTTGGTCTAGTGGAGGGGGAAGACATACTGGTCACAGTCATGCATGGATCAGTCTTAGGAAGGAAAGAGACAAGGGACAGGATTTCAGGACGTGTGTATCAAGAGCCTAAAGGACTTTCCTGGTGTGTTAGCCACTTTCTTTTGCTGGGACAAAATACCTGAGAATAACCACTTATAGGAGGAAAGATTTATTTTGACTCCCAGTTTCAGAGGTTCCAACCCCAGTCGCTTGGCTCCATTGCTGTGGGCCTGAGGCCAGGTTGAATATCAGATGGAAGGGTGTGGTAGAGTAGGGCTGCTCACCTCATGGGGGCCCGAAGCCGAGAGGGGGCTGCAGGCTCCTGGCAGAGGTGTCCTAGGGTCAGGGTGTCCCTGTTCTTCCCCCCTGAGTGTTCGTGCCCTCTGCCTCCAGGCCGGCCATACCGAGGCAAGCCCAGTGACATGTGGGCCCTGGGTGTGGTGCTCTTCACCATGCTCTACGGCCAGTTCCCGTTCTATGACAGCATCCCACAGGAGCTCTTCCGGAAGATCAAGGCCGCCGAGTACACCATTCCTGAGTGAGTTATGTCTCCTAGGAGAGGACGGGGAGACAACACAGGGAGCCCTGGAGTCCTGGATCAGAGTCCAGCCCGTGCCACTGTGCTGAGCCCTCTCCTTCTCCCTCTCCCCGGGCAGGGATGGTCGGGTCTCTGAGAACACTGTGTGTCTCATCCGGAAACTGCTGGTCCTCGATCCCCAGCAGCGCCTGGCTGCCGCTGACGTCCTAGAAGCCCTCAGTGCCATCATTGTGTCCTGGTGAGTGGGCTGGTGCTGGGCAAGTACCAGGCTGGGGACTTAGGCGTTCTTCATGCTATGTGATACCATGCTATGTGACTGCTGTGATGCCAGGCAGTCACCTGTCCAGATTTTTCCCTGAGGGTAAGACCAGGTGGGTACAGGCAGAGTGTGGGGTGGGCCTTGCTTACTGAGTTCTCACCACCTCCATGGGTCAAGGGCTTTCCCACATTATTGGATGAAAAAACAGCTCAGAGAAGCAGTTGTTCTCAGGCAGGAGCTGGTTGACTCCGGCCGAGCCTGGACCAGTGGGGACCTGGCAGCCTGACCTGTCTCCTCCCCTGCAGGCAGTCCCTGTCTTCTCTGAGCGGACCTTTACAAGTGGTTCCTGACATCGATGACCAGATGAGCAACGCAGACAGCTCCCAGGAGGTGAGGGGGGAGGAAGGGCACAGGTGCCAGCTCCCTGCAGGCATGAGGCATCCTCGGCTTTCCTCCCAAATCCTGGGAATGAGAAAGGAGACGTCCATGCTCCACCTGAGAGAAGGGCAGTTGAGGTGGAGGCCAGATCCTAGCAGGCCCCACAGTGGGGAGGCCCTGCCTGGCCTTCCCTCAGCTTCCTCTTCCTGCCCAAGTCACATTTCTTTCCCCTTCTGACTCACTGGGTTCTCTCTCACCCTTCCTGCTTTTCATTTTTCAGATGATTCATTTATCCCTGTTTTCTCTCCTCCTTGTTCCCTACTCTGGAGAAAGTGCTGGGCCTGGGAAAGGAGCAGAGACAGTGCTAGGCAGCAGGAGGCAGGTGATCTTAGGGTGCCCCCTGGAGGACAGGGCTTGTCCTGACTTCCCTGGGAGGGAAGGTGGGCCAGAGATATGAGTCTCCTTTCTGCCTGCCTTGGAGCTACTCAGCAAGCAGTGGGCAGGGAGGAGCAGGAGGGACCACAGCAGAGCCTCCTGGCCCTTGAGAAGAGAGCTCGCACCCTCCCTAGAGATGTTCCTCAGCTCAAGCATTATCACTTGTGGGCAGGAGCACCCAACCCTAGTACATCTCTTTCAGTCCTCCCTATGGCCTGGGTGGCCTGTGTTATCCACATTTAACAAAGGAGAAAAGCGAGGTTCTGAGAAGTAAAATGGTTTCTCCCAGAGTCACATGGCTTGGAGGTAGTAGACCTGAACCTTGAACCCAAGTCTGATTTTAAAGCCTTGCATTCCTCCCTGATAGCAGCACAGGGAAGGACAGACCTACCACTGCCATTTTGGTCTGCCTGAGCCCTGGGGAACTCAGGCTGGGACTCTGTGTGGACCTGAGATAAAGAAACAGGAACACCCAGGTTCAAGCACCAGGCCACCTCTTTTACCCCTTGGCAGGAATTGGCTCCCTCACATTGAGGAAGCTAACGTGGCTGCTCCCAAGGTCAGAGGTTAGGAAGGGTAGGGTCCTGGTTGCACCACAGGTCTGTGCTGCAGTTGGAACCTGCTGCAGTGTCATCCCCGGCAGCCAACGAGGGGAGGGCCAGTTGGATGGAGGCCTTCGGGGACTCATGCTCAGCCCCTGCCTAGCTGGTTCCCAAAGTGCGGCACAGGGGAAGGGCAGCCTCAGGGGCCAGGCTGCCAACACTCAATTCCTATCTTCTGTCTCTGACTTTGTCTCCATCTCTCTCGGCCTCACAGGTGAAGGTGACAGAGGAGTGCTCTCAGTATGAGTTTGAGAACTACATGCGGCAGCAGCTGCTGCTGGCTGAGGAGAAGAGCTCCATACATGAGGCCCGCAGCTGGGTGCCCAAGCGCCATTTCGGCAGTGTACCCCCAGTGCGACGGCTGGGCCATGATGCACAGCCCATGACCTCCTTGGACACGGCCATTCTGGCACAGCGCTATCTGCGGAAATAGTGGCCTCAGCCAGGGGCAGCTAGCCCCAGCGCCATCTCTTCTGGCCCCCAGCCCACGGCCTGGCTGTCAGGGCTGGGTCCTGTAGTGCCGGACTCTCCCAGGCTGCAGTAGGGACAGGGCAGGGACAGGAACAGCCCAGGTCACACATGGGGTCAGCAGAGGTACACAGAGCTACCTTTTGGAATGATTGCTTGATTGTTTGGTTTTTTAATCTGAGAAGCGTAGATAACTAATCTGCTTTTAATCATGACATTTTAATCTACCTCTGTCTCTTTAACCGTGCTGTCTCTGGCCTGAGTGACGAGAGGAGGAGGGAGCCCACCCACTCGCCCCAGGCCCTGACCCGGCCGCCCGGCCACCGGCCATGGGCCACCACTCCCCACAGTCCAAATAAGCTGAAAGTGCAGCTTGCTGCTGGCTCCCAAAATGAATGCCCACCCTCCCTGCCCTCCCAGCCCCTTCCACAGTCCATGGTGCCCTTCTGACCGAAAGCCTCCTCTTCACCTTACACCCAATTAAGATGTATTTATTTTTTTACAAAACCACCTTCTCTCCCATTTCTAGGTGGCCCAGTTCTTGGCCCCACCCCGCCCGGCTGCACCGCAGGGCCCACAGCCCCGCTTCGGCCTCCCCACTTGCCCCAGGCACAGAGGAGCCCTTGCCAGCCCCTCTGCTCCCAGTCCACCAAGCCCTGTCTGTCTCCGATGAACGATGGGAGGCCTTTCTAGACTTGGCTGTTTCTTTCGTCTCAGCTTCTCTGAGGTGCTGCACGATAGCCTTGCTCCCTTCTCCATCTTTCATGTAGCAACCAGGTGACGCAGGCACAATGTGAGGGAAACCTGTGTCCGGGCTGGGGAGGCATGCTCTGGGCCTGGCCTGGGATGTGGCCCTGCTTCTATGCGCTCTCGCTCCTGCACCCCAGTACATTCACAGAACAAACAGTGGGGTATCTCCCCTCCTGCCCTTGCTTCAGAAGAGAAGTGGTGTCTCCCCCAGCAGACACTGGCCAGGGGCCTTCATGGGGCTGGGAGAGTTGGGGGGAGAAATTAGGGATTGAGATCCTACCTGGCCTGGCTTGAGAACAGCCCTGATAGCCTTTTGAGCCATGATTTTGAAGTGGATGCCAGTCTTGCCAGAAATGCTGTTCTCACCAGGATGCCCTGCCCTGCCCTGCCCAGTGTCAAGCAAGGACCCTTCCCTGGAGACCTACCCACCGTGTGTCCTCTGAGAGGCCCAGTGCCCCTTCCAGGCATCCCCAGGCCCTTCCTGCCTGTCCTTGCTCCTCACTGTGATTCCCAGAACGTGAGCTGCCTCCAACCCCCTAAAAAGCTGACTCACTGTGAGTGACATTGGGCAAGTTCCCAAACTTCCTTGTGCCTCAGTTTCCCCATCTGGAAAAAATGGGGCCACCTCTTGCCAGCAGTAGCAGGGCCGCCCATTCCCCTTCCCCGTGTCCCAATCCAGCACTTGGGCGCCTCGTGCCTCTGCCTCAGTGGGTCTGTGGGAGCCCGCCACTTACTCCCCAAGCACCCAGCTCTGCCTCTAACTCAGCCATCCAGCCGCTGAGAGCCAGGGCATGGTGCTATGCTCTTTTCTATATTTATTTGATAAAAGTCTCCTAAAGGAGCAGAAGTGTGGTCGGCCTGGGCTCCCAGCCCTGTGACTCCTCTGATGAGGCTCGAGCCTGGCCAGGGCCTGCCTTGGTGGAGCCCCACCCAGGACCCCAGGGCCTGCTTTCCATGTGTGGCTTTCTCCTTTTCAAAGCAATATCGGGTCTGCACAGGCCTGTCAGACAGACTGGTTCCTCCCAAGGTGAGCCCATGAGTCTGATGGCATTTCTGGAGACGCAAATGAGAGAAGGTTGAGTCTGCCCTCACTGGTGTCACATACTGAGAGATGTCCTATTGTAAAGAAACAAAATGGAAAATGTCACAAAAAAGTTTGTATAAAGACATATTTTTGTACTACATGGGGACTCTACCTGCATGTCAGCAATAAAACTTCCTTGTCTGGAGTCACTGTGGTCCAAAGCTTCTGCTGTTTTTACCTCCTCTGTGCCTCCATTGTGGGCCCTGCCCTGGCCTGCCCTGCCCTGCCCTGCTCTGCCCTGCCCTGCCCTGCTCATCTCTTAGCCAGCAGGTCTTGCCACCAGGTGCACCTTCACCCGCAGCCAGCAGGTGGCACCCAGCCTCACTGTCATGAACTGGGCGGGGAGCCAGAAGGATCTGGCATTCTCCCAGACCCATTGTCCTCCCCAGGCAGCTGTATGCCCAAATTACACGGCCCGTGCAGGCCAGAGAGGCCAGAGCGGCTGCAGGTGGAGTATTGGTTCTTTCTCTGCCAAAGCCCTGTGTGCCCACATGCCTGTCCAGGGAACTGGGCTAGGGTGAGGGCAAGCCAGGCCTTTTCCTGCACCACCTCCCGCCCTCCCCTCCCAGGGGTTCCTTCCTACTTTCCTTCCGTTGCCTAAATTTAGATGGCAGATTGCACTTCCTGAGCAGTGAAGCTAGAGGTGGACCAGTCCCTCCCCCAGCACACCGCCACACCCTCATGGCATCTTCAAGGAGCTTCACCCCGGTCCAGGCTCAGAGGAGCACAGCTAGGTAGGTGTCCTAATGCAAAGGGCAGTGGAGGCTCCAGCCCAGTCCCTGGGTCTACCTGCACCCCATAGCCCACACTTATGCCAGGAGTCCACAGCTTTGCCCATTACATTCGGCCCTTGCTCCCAGCGTACCACCACCACTCTCTCCTTGCCAGCTGCTGCCCCTGGTCCTTGTCTCCACTCACAGCCCCACTCCTGTCCCTCCACCTGTTCAGCATCTGTTCAGTGGACAGATGTCTCCTGGTCGCCTGCACTTGTCAAGCTTACATTCATTCAACACGTAAGACAAGGCAGACGGGGACTGTTTGGCCTGCTGGTGTCTTGGCACTCAGAACTGTTTCAGTACTAGAAAGTGGGTGTGGTCACTGTGATCAACAGCCTATGGTCAAATAAGATGAGACCTGAGAAGTTTCCATCCCTTTTGGCCAGCCCCTGGTCTCCAGGGTCCTCAGGGAGAGCGAGTGGTTCCAGAGAAGCCAGATGCATTGTTGACCTATCTGAAGTGGAAAAGGAAGTGAGGAGATGGAGTCCTGGGGCCCAGGATGTCCAGCTCCAAAGCCAAGTCAACCTCATATCTTATCTCTCTTCCCACCACTCCTCAGCTCACAGCCCCTGTGGTGATCCAAACCCCTGCTGTGGCCCCTGGTCTGTCTTCTCCCACTCCCTCTGGCAGAGTCTAGGCATCACCTGACACAGTACACATTTTGGGGTTTGAGACAGTAGTTCAGGCTGGCCTTGAACTCACTGTGTAGTCCAGGCTGACCTCAAACTTGGAGCATTCCTGCCTCAGCCTCCCAAGGGCTCAGATTGTAGGCATGCACCACCACTCTGGCAGCCCTTTTGTCATTTTTGGTTTTGGCAGCCTTTTTGAAAGGCTCTTCTCCAGCTCCCTCCCTCCACTGGTCCTCTTCCTCACTCCACCACTCATCACAAGCTAATACACTAATACGCATATTCATGCAGTTAGAGATGATCATGTCTTCCCCAAATAGTCAGCTCCAAGAACGAGGGCGGGAATAGTTTGTGTCCACAGTGGGAGCTGGGGCTCCCACAGACTGGGGGATGCTGCTCGCATTTAAAGGGTGGAGGCCAGAGACCCTGACAACTCCACAAAGAAAGCAGATTTTACATCCTGCACACATCAGTAAAAGACTTGTTTATAATTACCAGAGCCAAGAATCTAAGTCCAGTTTACATATAAACACAAAGGACTTGGGGATAGTGTATGTTGAATTTTCTGGGACTCTACTGTGTAAGGTGGAGAAAATTTGTATTTTATTTTGTCCAGAAGTTTACTGCCTTAACACATGACACATCTGCACTGCTCTAGCATCAGCCTGCACACACAGTCCCCTTCCCAGAGAGGACCACTTCACAGCTGCAGGCCATTACTTTCATTTCTTTTATTTATCTACGTTTTTTTGAGACAGGGTCTTGCTATGTAGCCCAAGCTGGCCTTGAACTCATGGTGATCCTCCTGCCTCAGGCTCCTGGGTGCTGAGCATGCACTACCACACTTGTCTTTTATTTCTTTCATATCATAGGATGAGAACCATTATTCGTCTTAATTGGATGTGAAGGCTGGTACATTAGCTATCAGTTTTATTACAGGTATATGAAAATAGCAGCAGAAAGTGTCATGAAAGGCAGCTTTGGGGCTGGTGGATAAAGAACCATGATGGTAGGCTGGAGATTTAGCTCAGTGGTTCCGCTGCCTGCCTCGCAAGCACAAGGACCTGAGTTTGAAACCCTGGTACCAAAAAAAAAAAAAAGAACCATGATGGTCATACAGCTGTTCTGTGGGAAAGTATCAGAGCATGGGTTCCAAAGTTCAAATCCAAGCCTTGTCACTCAAACCCATGTGCCCACACATACAATGTGACCACTCGGAGTCTGACTTTCTTCCTCTGTCAAATGGGAGTCATGGGACAAACTACAACAAAGAGTGCCAGGCCCCAGGAGGGGACTCAACATCCATTCCTATTATTTTTCACAGAGCAAACATTCCCAGGACGCTCTTCCCAGCAGCTGTCCTGGGTGCTGAGGCATCGGGGCACACAGAGGACACAGAGGCCGGCAGGCCTTAGGAGGCCAAGTGCATCCTTTCTTCCTTCCATCCAAGGGCCAGGCCTAGGGTGGGGAGACCCACCCCAGTGCTGGGTGCAGAGCAGTCAGGGCCAACCCCCAGCTCGGCCTGGGGGTCAGGGGCAGACTCCTGCTGGAGTTTTGCGCTGGTTCCTCAATGTCCCAGCACCCTGGGGCCCATCCCACAGCCTCTGGATCTCTCTTCCCTCCTGAGCTGCTGGCAGGACTTAATTTTCCTGTTTTCTCTTAGGAGCACTCTGCCCCTTCCAAAGTGCCAAATCCCTAGTCTCCCAGGCAGACAGGAAGGCAGAGGCAGCCAGCAAGAGGGCAAGTGGGCAGGCAGCAGGTAAGTCCTGGACTGACGGACAGGGAGTAGGTAGGGAGATCAGCATGTGGATAGCTGGGACATGAGCCAGATAGGCAGGTGACAGAACATCCAGAGATTTGAGCCACCTAACTGAAGCAGGTGGCTGGACAAACAGATGACCAAGCAGGCTAAGAGAGACAGGCAGGTGGCCATAAAGGCAGGTGGACCGTGCAGGCAACCACATAGGCCAGTGGCTTCAGGCCCTTTCCCTCAACTCATCGGAATCACTTCTCACACCTGCCCTGGCTTGGACACACCCACCCCCCTGGAGGAGGTAGCGCTCTGGGCACCGTGTGTCTCTCTATAGGGACCAGCAACCATCTCACCGTTCACCTTGTTCCTCCAGCATGGCCTCCTGCTTCCCCAGAGCTCAGTCACGCCTGACCCACTCCACACACACAGGTCATAGACATAGACACATCTTTGCCTGCAGGTAAAGATGGAGTGATCTGCACAGCACAGAGACGAACAGAAACAGAGAGAAACATCCCAAAACTCCATATTGCACAGAGAGATGCCGGGCCCTCACTGCGCAGAGGTTATGTGTCATGTAAGTGGAGGCACACAAGCCTCAATGTGCACAGTTTTAGTTACACAAGTGCAGCTGCAGCACACACCAATACTCACATGGGTGATAAGCAACAAGCATATCAACACACTCTCAGCAATCCAGCACATAAACACACTACGCACAATCAGCCAGTCACATGAACGCCCTGAAGAAGTGAGTATGGCCAGCGGAACCCACCTGCACTGCCCAAGCCAGGGCTGGGATTCTGTCCTCACCTTTACCTCTCAGCCCAAGGTAACACTGCTGTTCTTGTCCTGGCTCCAGCTGCCCCCTCACTGGCCTCCTCCTGCAGACTCCCCCACCCCCACCCCGCCTGTCAGGGATCTCAGGCTTTAGACTTCTTCTCTCCTGGTTCCCTTGCCCCAGGCCATTCACCCACACCCAAACCTTCGGTGCTAAATCCACCTCATGTTTCTAGGCTGGAAATGGGGGATCCACTTGCCTCTCTGACACCTCTGCCCAGGTACCCAACAGACATAATGAACCAAACCTATCTAGAATAAAACTCCCCCTAAACCTGTTCCCCAGTGTAGACTTTCCTCAGGTACTCACACCCAAGAGCAGGGCTAACTTTCTCTTTCCCTCATGTCCACATCCACACAGGAGCTGCCTTCAGAATACCACCTGGATCTGGCCCTGCCTCTTCCCTCTACCAGCCACCCAGGTCTAAAACCAGACACCTGAGATAACTTCATGTACTGTATTGTCTTTCCAACTTAGTGTCAGGTGTCTGTGCTGTTTACTGCTAAATCTCCATTTCTGAAGAAAGGGTTAGGCACCTGCTGTTAACATTTGTGGACAAGGGACTGTATAGATTTAACACAGGAGCACCCACCCCTACAAACTCCCAAGCAGTATTACATATAGACAACTACTCAGTCTTAGGCAAGAAACACCTCTACACTGCTCACAAAGCAGACTCTAAACAGTCACAAAGATACACAGGTGGGAGTCAGTCTTGGTCCCTTCCCCAACTAGATTTGCCCTCTACTTGAACCTACTCTCAGGACTGGGGGAGTGAGGGTCTGCAGCCTGGGCAGGGAGGGGGTCGCTGGCCCACGGGGTTCAGGCAGCGCCTTCAGCTATGTCTGCAATTTCCTCTCCCCCATCCTTCCCTCCTCCTAAGGCTCTGGCCAAGAAGGCCTCCCCCTCGCCCCGGCTCCAGGACGGGGAGAAGCCATGGGGAGGGGTGTTGCAGGGGAGGAAGACTGCCAGCTGCACACACTGATCACATAAACCCTTGCAGGCAGCAGCCCTGAGCCCAGGTGGGCACCCACGTGTGCGCCCGGGCAGGCCGGGGTAGGCCCTTTCTGCAGGGCTCTTGTCCTGGTGCTCGGGACCTCCCAGGCACTAGAGGCCCCGCGCTGGGGTCTGCAAGCCTGCCCGGCCTGGCCCAACGCTGAGCCCAACAATCATTAACGCAGGGTGACCACACCAGAGCTTGGCCAGCTGGACACACTTAAACCGGGCCCTGGAGGAGGGGCTAGGGGTGCTGGGCGGGGTGTGGGAAGGACTGGGGAGGCCTAGGGAGCCTGGGAGCTGTGGAACCTCTACTCCCAGAGGAGTAGTAGACTGTGGGTTCAAATCCTGAACGTTTGATATTCAGTCTCTCCATGACTCAGTTTATTTTATCTGCGAAGTGGGGATGATGATACCCACGTTATAAGGTTATTGGGCTTAAATGAAAGACAGCTTGAAGGAGCCTAGCGCCCCGCACCTCAGCAGAAGGAAACCTTACGAATAACAAAGTTATTACAGGCCTGGGGGCGGCCCCTGCAGCGGCCTCCCCAGCGGCTTCCTGCACGAGAGGGCGCCCCCTTCCCTCCCCTCCCCTCCCCTCCCTCCGGCGCTCT